AATAGGAACTGTACTGGATATTACAACGCTGGAAAATACACTTAGAGAAAAATCTTAAGGGAGATTCTAGTTTTAGAGCAAGGCGAGAAGAAGGCGGAGGGGAATAAACTACAGAACAATATTCCAGAATCGGGAGAAGATAACATTTGAAAAGATGAATGTAGAATTCTGGAGACGTAGATCTAAATGACTTTAAGAGTTGTTTGGAACGGAGAAGAGCTAAAGATGTGATTTTGTTGATGTGAGCAGAGAATTTGAGAGAGGAATCAGTAATGAGTCCCAAGTCCCGGACGGAGGAGGAGGAGGGAGTAAGTATGACAGAGGGAGTAAGTGTGACAACGAATTGGTCTGAATATATTGTATCTGGAAGAAACTATGACAAGGCCCGCGAATGGCCCGGCAAAAGCCCAGTCGCAAATATGCTCTTATGGCATTAACATTTTCTTATTTTGTGGTGTCGCTGAAATCACAGCCGTGTAGCTCAATTGGTAGCTGCTTGGAACCTCCAATATTTGGCTCACAAGTGCAACCCTTTCAAGCAATTATTGGAATTTCGAGAGTTTTCAAAAAACTCCCTTTTTTAAAGACCTAGGGAACTTTTGTTTATCCCGGACAACGGTTCCGTCGAAAAGTGCCTGGAAGGCATCTCGTGTCAAACACCTTTACCATCACACAAATGTACCGAAAAAAACTTAATCTTTTTTTGCGTTTTTTTTCAGACGACTTCCGAAACGCATGAAAAAATCATTTCACTCTGAAATATTTCTCTACACTCTTGTTTTTTACCAAAAGTCCAAATTTTCCCGAGGTTCTCTGGTCCAAAAAAGACGCGAAAGTTTCAAGCAGACACTTACAAAACCTCTAAATCAAGTTTTGAAGTATCCATAGCAATTTGCTGGTTTCCCGGCTACGATGCCAAATCCAAAATCCACTCAACTTGTACTCCAATTTTTTCCAGTCTCTGCTCTTGGGATGTGCCTATTTTTCAATCCTGGCGTCTTATCCTAGCGTGTGACAAGTGATAGTTATCCTTGACATGTTGAGCCGTTTTTTCACAAAAAATTCAACAACAAAAAAATTTCAGCGGGCTTCTATAGTCAAAAGACTCCTTTTAATCTCTTCCCATTAATTCAAGAGGTGCTGATCTTTTCACATATTCTTTAACTTGTTAGAGCTATACGTTAAAGATCGTTCAGTTTAAGCTAATATTACTTTTTTTTGAAGCTGGCCACTCTTTTTTCAAAATCCAATCAAAACGGCTACTCTAAATCTAATCAAAAACGGCCACTATGTATGTTTTTTTTGCAATCTAATCAAATTCAAATCCAATCAAAGTGACCTACCTATCCCAGTAGCTGGCTATAGGCATTCTGCTGTTATTATTATTATTATTATTATTTGACCACTCCCCCCCCCCTCCTCTTTTCTTTCTCGTTGACCCATTTTCCATACCACAAAAGAGTTCATTATTCATGGATGTGCTCAGTACGTACTTTTGCTCCTCTTGTTGTTTGTTATACACATACACAATTTAGATTATTACATGTAAACTATATATGAAACATATGTTGCTTTCTTGTTACTTGCTCTCTCCTCTGCTTGCTCAAGCTCCGCCCACTTTCCTTTGCAGTTCTTTTTTTTCTTCTTATTGAAAAATTGACACTTATTATTAAAAAAAACGTAAAAAGATATGCATCAGTTATCGGGGTCTCTGAGAGAAAGAATAACAAAGAATTTTTAAAGAAACATTCTTTCCTCCGACCAAGACAAACTGAAAGTCACGCATTCATATTCGATTTGTGCCCCACACAGACAAAACATCGTTATCGTTTTCGTTTTTTTGGATCCTTGCTTCGGTTTTTATGAGAATTCAATGTGTTTGTGTTTTTGTCTGTGCTGTTTGGAACAATGATCTTTAAATTCTTCTTTTCTTCTCCTGGGAGGCTGAAAATGACAGGAAGCCGTTCGATCCGTCTTTTACTGTCTGTGTTTTTTTTCTGTTTTCATGTCGCATATGGCTCCTATCCAGACAGTAAAGAATTGAACGTTGTCATAAAAATATCATAACCCCAAAAATAATTTTCAATGAGCTCTCGTTTTTGTTATTGGCCGTTTTTTTTCTATTTTTTATTACTGGCTGTTTGAAATTGGGCTCATTTAGTGAGCAATCCTTCTTTGTGCGTCATATGGGACGGTTTTTAGTCTAGAAATGAGGAAAACAAGTTTGAAACAGAACATTCTGACAAATTTCAACAGAACTCGCAAGATTCGAATTTTTTAATACCGTAAAACCTGTATTAGAAGGGCCGGCCCTTCTATTGTTCCCAGGTGTCTTTGGAGGGTTCTTCTATTTTTCCGAAATTTTGCATCAAAAAATTCGACGAAGTTTCGTACAAAATTCATGAAAATCTGTCAATTTCACCGAAATTTAGCAAGATTTTACCGAAAAAAGGATTTCAATAAATTCCTATTAAATTGTGGAGTTCCCGGAACATTTTCCACTGGAATAGTACTAAAATTTTCTGTTTTTAAAAACACATTTTGCAGGGGGTCTATTACGGGGGCTCTTCTATTACCGGGGGCCCTTCTATTTTTCCAAGCCCCTCTTGGAGGGACCTTCTATTAGAGGGACCCTTCTCTTAAAGGGGCTCTTCTAATACATGTTTTACGGTATTATGAATATTTTTCTTAAATACAAAATTTTTTAAATTTTGGTCAAGTTTGGCGTATTTTAATGAAATTGATAAAATATACAAAACGTATTTTTTAGTTGATTTTAAACCATTTTCACCATTTTTCAGTGTCTGGACTCGGCTGTCAAGTTTACGATCCTTTTGAAAACTTTTGATGGATGTAAAACCAACCTAGGTTTAAAATTTCGGATTCACAGAATTTTTTGAAAATTCATATTAGGTTGGAAGGAAAGTAACTGTCTATTTTTTAAATTCACGAATAACACAAAAGTCAGAATTATCCAAGATTGACAGTATGCACCGTCGTGGTCGACGACATGCTAACAACATTCAGATAACTTGTGGATACCATCCCCCCAAAAGCCAGCTGGCCGCGTATCAAAGTATTCTTAAAGTGCCGTTTTTATCTCATCGACAGTGTAAAATTATTTTCCCTACAGATGATGTTGCACATCTCCGAATAACCAATAATGAAAGGGTCAAGTCTGGAGTTTAAGGAAAGTGGAGAGCCGTTCATCCAAAGCGGCTTAGGACTGAATTGCATATCCTTTAATAAAACGAGATACTATGCTCCACGGGAAGTCAAGTAAGACCTAGACCGCTTTAGCTCGACGGTTTTTCTTTACGCCTCCTCAAACTACTGATTTGGCCCTTTAATTATTGGTTAAAGGAAAATATGTAACGTCATCCGTCATTAAGGGAAATATGTAACGTCATCCGGAGGGAAAATATTTAACACTGTAAATCAGATCAAATCTGGACCGAAAAAATTCTTTCAGTCGCAGCCAATTGGCTTTTGGAGGGATGGTATCCACAAGTTACCTAGTCACTTACCTTCCAACCTAATAGTTTTTTAGCTGCAAAGTTTTCAATCTAGGTCTGTCTTACACGCTTTAAAATGTTCAAAGTAATCAAAAATTTGATAGCTTTTCGTTCTATGCTAAAATTGGCTCTTTAAAAATTTACCAATTAACATAAGAAAATTTGAAAATTCGCAAAATTAAAAACATAATTGGCATAATTAGAATTTCGATACTATCAGGAAACATATGTCTTTGTTAAATTTTTCCCTTTTTCACTTTTCACAGAAATTTCTGATTTTGGTCCCTCAATTTCAACGTTTTTCTAGTTTTTTTTTTTCTTGAAGTAAGCTTCAACTTGAAGTTCATTTCGATAAGTAGCTCCTTCTCTTTCGTCACAGACTTTGATTAGCAAAGCACTTTTGCCAAAAACTCAACTTCCTTTTCTCTCCAACCCGAAACCTTCCAGAAGCCGAAAAAAAAATTAATCTAGTCAATGAATGTTTGACCTCGTGTCTCCAAAAACTCGGACCTCAAGGCACTTTTGAATCGCTCTCGCGCGCGCGCCACCGGAAATTGGTAATCTGACTGGGCTGTTGGGGCATGCGATATTTCTTCATTGTGTTGAAAAATATTTTTGATGTGACACGAGCTATTGCTTCCAAATACTTTGTGATCAGAGGAACAGTTGTAGTGGGAGAAAAACAAAAAGTTCCAGAGACCTTTAAAGAAGAGAAGGGAGTTCGTAAAAATATGTTTCTCGGAAATTTGTTTATATAAGCTTCCGGAAGTTGTGGGCCAAGGAGAGCTACGGTAAGTATTTTTCAATGTTTCCGGTCTCCCCCCTGTATGGTCCCTCTAGGTAGAGATGGCTCTATTTTCAAATTGCCTCCTTCTATGCTCATATGTTGTGTTCCTATCTCTTCTCCCCATATCGTATTTCGTTATCGGTCATGTCCTTCTCTAACAACATCATGCCGAGGACAATATTTGTCCCATGTTCCCATGTTTCAGTACTTTCTCATCTCTTAAAAGTCGACGTATCCATTTTCAACAGCGTTTCAAGAAAAGGAGAAGAAGTTTTCTTTTATTCCGTTTTTTTATTTAGTTGCTGCCCTTTTCCTAGAGAAGATGTTCTTTTTTTGTGCTGCTGCATTTCGAGAGTGTCTTCTAGAGTTTCTGATGTGACATTTTCTTCTTCTTCTTCTTCTTTTCAAACATCTTTCAAAACTTTCAATCCTTAGAGAATTGTCTGCGTCATCATGTTCCTTCGTTCTAGTTACGGTTAATTAGAAAAATCTTGAGCTTTGGCTTTGACTCCTTCAGCACAAAAAATAAGAAAACGCCCCTTACATCTTCTTCTCATTTATCCGAGAATGTTGATTCGTCCCATCCTTTCCGTGCTCTCACAAACATTTGTACTTTTTTTTGTATGACTAATTTAATAAAACAAAAATATGAAAGCTTTCAGGCAGAATACATCATGTCGCGTTTGATGTAAAAAAATATGAACCAGACCTACGAGCAAAACTTCACGGAGGTCATCGATCCGGTAGGTGGGGATGACATTTTGATGGAATTTGATCATGCTTGAAAATTTTTAAAATCGTATTTCAAATTCCTCTGTAGCCGTTTTCGTTATTTTCAGACGTCTGGGGCTCGGATGTCAAGTTTCCGATAACTTTGAAAATTTCAGAAGTCATAATCCGACTCAGATTAAAAGACTGCTGTCACAGAATTTCTGGAAAATTTCTAGTTTTTCAGCTTTTTGCGGATTTTTGAATAACACCTATTTTTTCATGTTTTCATTTCAAAAACCGGACCAAAAGGAGTATCTTTCAGAAAACGGCAAAAAGCTGAAAAACTAGGAATTTTCGAAAAATTCTGTAAATGCAAACTTTTCAATCTAGGTATGTTTTACATGCTCCAAAATTTTCAAAGTGATCAGACACTTAACAGCCAAGCTCCAGACTCCTGAAAATATTCAAAAAGTTTCTCTGAAGAATTCTATTACTTTATAATTGGAATTTTCAAAAAAAAACCCCTTAAAACATGTTTTAAAACCCTGTGATCCACCCACATTTCCATAAACATCAACCAACAATACAATTTGTTTTTTTCCCCAAAAATCACTTCCCTTTACAGATCGCCACCGCCGCTCATGTGACATGGAGCTTAACGGCACTCATCGGTATCCCGGCCAACCTTTTTGTGCTCGCCGCCATTGTGTACTTCCGGTGAGTCTCAGTGAAAAAAAATGGACATCACGAGAACAGGAAGCTTGTGGGGGATAATCGAATAGGAAATGTGAAGTGGAACTCTTCATGACTTGAAAAATGTTAGATCTTTTGAATGCTTCTATATTTCTCAGGGACATGCGAACCATCTCAAACATCTACATCTTTAATCTGGCTCTAGCGGATTTACTCTTCTTATGTGCAATCCCTGTCACGTTTTTCGGAAGATCAATGCGCGAGGGATGGCGATGGGGACCAATCATGTGTAAATTGTATATATCTGGAAATGCGGTCTCTCAATTTGCCTCTGCGGTGTTCATTGCTATTCTGTCTTTTGATAGATATCTCGCTGTTTGCCGTCCAATTCAATCAAAATCTTTTCGGACCACCCAGGCGGCAGTAATACTCTCCATAGCTGCATGGGCGATGGTTATCATAGAGATGACACCATTGTTCCTTTTTGTCAAGTTAATCAAGACAACCACAGGTTAGCAAAGTATACAGTATGGCCAATAAGAAGAGTGTTTTTCGAAAAAAAGGGGTTTTCAGTTGATTCTTGGTCATTTTGACCATTTTCAGAAGTCTGAACCTCGGTTGTCAAGTTTTCAATTACTTTCAAAATTTAGGATGGTATAAAAGAGAACTAGATTGAAATTTTTCATTCGCAGAACTCTTAGAAAACCACTAGTTTTTCAGCTATATTCCATTTCTGAAATAAACATCTGCTTCTGTTTTTGTACTGAAAACGTGACCTCCAGAAATCGGCAATTAGCTGAATAACTATCGAAAACTTGACAACCGAGCTCTTGAGTCCTGAAAATGAACTAAAAATCACATTATTGTATTCTTACCGACCGGGGCAGGATATCTACAGTAACCAATAATATTTTGCAGGAGGACACACCACTAGAAGCTGCATGTTGTTCGTAGGAAACGTCACTGCTTTGGAGACCCTGGATGAGTCAATACACGATGTCGCAGTGCTCAATGAGGTTGAGCAGAACATGCTAACATCTAGACGGTGATCTTTCCCGCTTATCTTATCAAAAACCAAAAGTGTTCTTAGATTTTTCATCAGCTACACGTTCGCACTCTCGTATCTAATCCCACTCGTTGCTGTCTGGTTCTTTTATTTCAAAATCATTCTAAAAATGTGTCAGCAGAAACAACAAATGCAGACAAAACGAACGGGCACAAAGCGAAGGACAGCAAAGGTGAATAAATTCTGGAAAGTCTTTAGTTCCATTGTTTTTTATAACTATTGCAGGTCACTATAATGGGGTTGGCCATTGTTATTTCTTATACGCACTGCTGGCTTCCGTTTTGGATTGTGCAATGGTCAATTGAGGCGAACCTTTTCCAAAAGTGAGTTCTAGAAATTGGCGGCGAGGGGTTTTGCAAATTCTAAAAAATGAGTAAGGAACTCCAGAAACCACATCATTGGTAATCCAATTTTCATCTAAAATTTTCTGTTATTATCTCAAAAATCAAAGCTAATAAAATGTAAATGAGGATTTACGACGAATGCTTCATGACTGTAGGGTCTTTGGTTTTTTCGGGCAATAATAAACGTTCCTTCCTTCTAAATCAACTAATTTTATGAACCATGGGTCAACAGAAAAAAAAACCAACAGAAAAAAACAAAGTTCAAAAATTCTCGTGACATCCTAATGGAGTTCTGCTTCCTGGAAGTTCAAATATCCTTTGAAACTCTGTCCCCATTCTAGACCAAACAACAATACATTTTCTCCAGTAGCAAATATCTACTCTTCGTCTTCACACACTTTGCTTTTGCTCTCCAGTACATCAACTCTGCCGCCAATCCGTTCCTCTACGTCTTCCTATCGGATTCGTTCCAGAAAAACGTAATTTATAAATTCAAACTGCAATCTTTAATTGGATAGTGCTTACAGATGCAAAAACTATTGCGAACTGCCAAACCGGACAAGCAAATCTCGCTGAAAAGTACTACCGAGCCATTGGACACTACCAGGATGATTACTGTAACTGCGAATCCAACGTGCTCGACGGCTTCTGACAGTTGTTAATTGCTCCCATCTTATTTTATGTTCCGATCCAACCCCACCAAACGTAGTACAATTTTTTTCGAAAACAAGAAACAACGCTGATACAAATTTCATGTATATAAAAAACAAATTTGAATTCCACTGGTCCATTTATTTTTTATTTTGTCCAACTCTGTATTTGCTTTTTCACCGTCTCATCCATTCATTCCACGCATTCACACACTCACACATATTGTGTTTTTTTTTTGAGAAAAATAAATTATTTGAAACTGGGAGTACTGTAAAAAAGATTTGAAGAGATTTTCAGAAGAGATTACCTCCAACACTCTGTGATCTTTTATCTTTTGACTTTGAAACGATTTATCTCGGTCCCTGTAAAAGATATCTATAAATTGTTAACTGATGAAATATTTTTTATAAAACCTACAATTTTTATTAGTTGACAAGTTTTCGATATATTTTACAAAAAATGAGATATATGCGCTCAAAGTTGACTGAAAATTTTGGTGACCCTTAACTATAAAAAACTGTGCTTAATTATTCCGATTCCTGAGGAAGATATCAAAGATGTATCAACTGATAAAAGATGTGTAACATTATGATGAACAATTTATTATTTGGCATGTTCTATCTTTCATACAAATCGAGATAAACTCAGTTAAGGTCGACTTTAGCCAATCGAACCAATAACTTTGAACTCATGTATCTCGTTTTCCGTAGGCCCCTAACTGTCAACTTTGAGACAATTTTATCTCGGTTTCTGTGAAAGTTACTAAAAAGTAACCAACCAACAAAATGTTCATAACTATGTCAAAAATCTACCCTTTTTAGTAATTCCAAACAGTTTTTGCTAATGGTATACCGTACAAATTTTTGGTATCTTTCCCAGGAATCAAAATAATTTTGTTCAAAGTTGACTGACGGCTTTGGGTACCTCTAGCTGTCAACTTTGAGCTCAATTATTTTGCTTCTTGTGAAAGATATCAGGAACCGAGATAACTTGGCTTGGCGGTTTTAGGTGGGCTTGTATTATGGGAATTATGGTCAATAAAAACCCCATTGTAAACCTGAAATCCTGTTTTTCTCCCCTTCATCGTTAGTTTCTTACATTTAGCCATAAAGCAATTAAAGTTTTTCTCCAACGCATAAACTTCTTAATTTCTATCAATTTCAGACTTTGGAATATGCTTATCAACTAGCGAACGCCCTAAAAATGATTTCTGCCCTTCAACCACTTTCAAGTTTCCCAAAATTAGTCATGTGGAAAAAAAACAACTCATGTTTGTACTAATTTTGTACATTCTGACTCACCCATCATGTTCGTATTATTTCGAAACATCTACATTCCTGTCCCAAAACAAATGACTCATTTTTCGAATAATGCATATTTATTAAAGTTGAAAATCAGACATCTTCATAGTGTTCCATACCCGGGAAGCTTCCACTCATCCCAAGAAAATCTCACTGGGTACAAAAAACGTTTAGGTGAACCTAAGTAATTTGCTTCGAGACAGACTTGGGTGAGACATGCAAAATAGACAATTTCAAAGGTCGTTGGAATTTAAACGATTTCCGTTTCCAATGATTCTAGAAATGATCTAACGAAGAATGCCGAAAAATGAATGACTACTGGAAATGAGGTTTTTTTTTCGAAATTCTCGAAACCAGTAGTCTTTCAATTACAATAAAAGTCGATAAGAAAAAAAAGAGACAATTGAGATTACATTGAGACAGAATAGAAAGTCCGCGGAAGGGGGAAAAGAGAGAGATGGTTTCAATCCGTAAGGTGTTAGTGGTTTCTTCCGTAACATAGACCCATAACTATAGTTTCGGACTATATCAGTGTGGGATCCAGAAGGGAGTTCCGAAATGGTTTAAATATCGGTCTATAAAGTCTAATGTCGGTTTTTACTAGGAGAGTAGAAGGGAAATTTGGGATAGAGGATAGAAAAGATTATATGAATGAATTTAGTCGATTCAAGTGAAGTCTTAGGCGTTGGATGATGGTACTGCTTCAACTGGTGGATGATGGTACTGCTTCAAATGCCGTAGTGAATGACAACGAAGAAACCAGCATCTGAAAAAATCAAAATAATTCTTCCAGCAAAGCTTGAAAAGAAAAACCATACATGAGCCTTTGCCGGGCCTTCGCGGGCCTTGCCATAGTGTAGAATTAATTTTTTGAAACTACATTAGTTATGATATATCTCGATGAGTACTGCAAAATGATACTATTTGGAGAATTGTGTGTTGTCCATGAACAAAGTTACGGACGAAAAAAAGAAGCCCGGCCACTTTATAGCTTGTAACTTTGTTCATAGGCAAGACACAAGTTTTCGAACAATATCATTTTGTAGTACCCATCAAGTTCTATCATATCTAATTTAGCTAATTTGAAAATATTGATTCTAGAAGAAACTATGAAGGGTCCGCGAAGGCCAGGCAAAAGTATAGTTCGCAAGTATTGAAAAAACTACTCACCAAGGTGTAATCCTTAACAAGCACATGTTGAATGACAGTCAGATGATGGAGTGACTGCTGACAGGTGGTCACGTCGACATGATTGCGCAAGTTTTTTGCTTGGATTACTATTGGCCAATATACCCTGAAAGTTTAGATAAATTAGGAGGAACAAGGAGCAAAAAAAATAGGGAGCCTAAAGACAGTAAGAACACACCGGATAGTACAAAAAAAGTTGGGGAGAAAGCGATGAGAGAAAAAAGTCATGGAACGGAGAGTGCGGAGAAAGGAAAACGGGGCGCGCCTTGGGGAGGGATGATGTATGGGCGAAACATGAAGAACGAACGCGAGAGAGACAAGAAGGGTGAACGTGGTCACATTTCCTTCGGCCTCACGCGTCTCTCCATTTCCCAAACTATTTAAACAACCGGCCAACGTCCTGCTCTCTCTCTCCGGGCGACCCGAGTAGAAGAATAAGAATAAGAAGAAGTGGAGGAGAAGAAGAAGCGAGAGATGAGTTGTTAGTACTGTGAACTGCAAGAGGGAATGAGGCGGAGGAGGAGGAGGTTGCATTCAGCCTCCCGGAGGCAGACCACCATAACAACAGTCACACACACATATACATTCATTGATCGGGGAGTTTTTGCCTCTCTCTCTCTCTCGCACGGAAAATGAGGGAATGAGAAAGAGAAAGTGTGTGTGTGTGTGTGTGGATGGAGTGTGTTGTGTCGTCTCTTGTTCGTGATGGTGAAATGAAATGAGTGAGAGTGGGCGGTTGGCGAGAGAGGGATTCCCGAGAAGCTTCGCTCTCGGAGGAGGAGGAGAAGATTCTCATCCATACGTTTTCAATGAGAGGAGGAAAAGGAAATGAGAAACGAACGCGTATTCGAAACTGATGAGAATGTGGAGAGGAAGCTTTGGAGAGGAGGATTAATAATTAATACGAAGCTTAGAATGGAAACCTGATGAGATTTAGATCCCAGGTAGATCCCAGGTACATATAAGCTTATGAGAGGTCAGGTCAAGGGGGAAAAGGACGACTCGGAAAACAGGGTACTATTTAGAAGCATCTGGATACTGTAGGAAAAAGAAGTTGAAAATAGCGAAAACAGAAGGCATATAATTCGGAGGGTACAAAAATTTTGGATAATTGGAATACAAGACAGTTTAGGAGTACAAAATACCATCGAAAATCCGGATTTAGTATCCCTAGATAATTTTGTACCCCCTTGTACACTCCAATTGTATCACCCATCCCAATATGTGCCAAAACAGAATTATGAGATCACAAAGAATCAATTCGGTTGAAAATTTGAGCACTCAAGTCGGCTTCAACATTCTTTTCCAGTCCAGTCACAGGAATACTTTTCTGATTAAAATTTTAATGAAGGTTTGGAAGTCAATTTCAGCATTCTCTATCTCTTAGCTTTATTTCAAGTAAATAAAGAAATGAATTTCAGCTGTTTCGAGTCAGTGAAACGCTCGAAAGTTATATGTAACAGATTTACAAAAAATAAAAGTATTCCGAAAGAGATCAGTTGATTTCAAAGCTTTCAAAATTTATAACTTCGGAATTACAAGTTTTTCAACCATTCACAAAATCCTATTTCGAGCGTATAAATCGATCGTTAGACATAATTTGTTCGATTCAATTTCAAAATTTCTAGTTCTCTCTAGACAATGGAATCCACTCTTTTTTCCAAAGACAGATAAATTCCTAGAATGTCAACATCGTCTTTTTTGCACTCTCCGCGCCGCATCGCATCAGGATGCATTGTTCCAAAACAGATGAACCGATAAAGCTAATGAAACGGAACTGAATCCAACTTTGAAACTTTTCATGGATCCGATTTTTCTCAAGAAAAATGGAAATAAGAGAAAAAAAATAAAATGAGGAAAATTTTTGTCAGAAAGAAAGCAAAACAACAGGTTAGCAAATACTGAAAATGAAGAAAATGAAGCAGACTCAATGATCACAATTCAGGTTCTTTAATGTGGAATTTTAGGTCATGAATGAAGCATTATATAGTAAAGTTGAATGAAGGGAAATGACGTCAGAAGAGTTATCAGCGCATTTTTATCTTTTTGCAATAAATTCCAAATAGTACACTGTTAGAAAAAAATGAACAAAGAAGTAATTTGAATTTTAGTACAATAGCATGAATTTTAGTACAATAGCATGAATTTTAGTACAATAGCATGTGATAGAATTCTGAGGTCGAAGTATGAACTCGAAGAATAAAAATACTGTCTTGAAAATCCCATTATCTCAGTTCCTATGCAAGATATTCGAAAATTGTTCACTAACAAAATTTGTTTGATATTATGATAAGCAAGTTATCAGTTGAGCACTTTTTCATATTTCTGACAAAAACCGAGAAAAGTTGGTTCGAAGTTAACAGTTAGTGGGCACTCCTATTAAAAGTTTTTCGGTTATTCGGCATTTGTACGAAATACACCAAAAAAAATGGTAAGTTGAGAAATATTCGGCATGAAGTTAGTTATATATTATAATTTGATTGCATTTCCAAATAATTTATAGCAATATAAATAATCTGTATGAAAGTTATGGCTGTCCGACAGCAGTTTTACAAGAAACCGAACCGCGAAATTAGAGATAACATACTCAATAAAATTTGGGAAACACGTTATACCGTAAAGACTTCATTAGAAGGTTCTGCTCCTCAATCATCTCAAGGTACACTTTGAGAGTCCTGCCTTTTCAGAGGCTCTTCAATTAGAGGGAGTTCTTCCATTGCTCCGGTATTTTTTCTGATTTGTTTAGAAAAAGATTTTCTAGAATTCTTGTTCAAAATTTAAGGAATAATGCCTTTTTAATAGAAGGACCCGATGGACACAAAATATTTTAATTTTCGAAAAAACTTCATTGAATATGAGTTGACGAGTTTTCAGTCTATACACAATTAAAAATAAGACCTGCAAAAATTTTCAGGCTACATGTCCCTTGAACTGTGTTTAGACTTTCATCATGGGTTCTTGATCTTTATTATCAAATAAACAGGATGTGCACGAGACCCCTCATGACAACATGTTCCATTCTTACCGCCGTTCCATACCAACATCCATAATCTTTGATGATTGAGAACCACTCCAGTTCAGATGAACTCAAAACGATTGCATGATGTCGTATTTGTTACATTTGCAATAATAAGAAAACAAAAAAAATTTAGGTACAAAAACCTGGAGAAATATTATTTGCGTCCGTGCGTCCCTTAACGATTCTGATTATCTTTATATGATCAAACTTCAGAAATCAGCGGGAAACTTTCTGAACGGGAAATAACAGGAAAACGTCACTTTTCACTTTTAGCTTTTCTCCTTCTCTCTTTTCTTATTTCTTAGACGCAAAAATTTTTAAACTTTCAGGCACTATCGCTCTTTATGGGGTTATTTAGAGAATCAGCAATTCAGAAAAATTGCTGATTTTTCTGCCCTCTGCATAAGGAAAAACCAGCAATTTTGCTGAAATTCTTCACACTGAATAACCCCATTAGAAAATTCAAAAGATGAGGAATGGAGGATATCCTCCACCATATGTTCCCACTGAAAACAATTCCAGCTGTGTCGCTTCGCCAAAAGTTCACGTGAAAAACCAGCGGCAGGCACCAATCACCTCCTTTGTTTTGTGCATTTGTTCTTTGAACGCTTAGATTGGTTTTCTCTCTCTCCCCCCGTCCACCAGGGGCCGTAACAACACTAAGAAAAAACTGAAGAAGAAGGTGTGTATGTATTTATTTCGGCAACTAGTTCAATTTCCTTCAAATTGATAAAAATCAGTTTTTCCCTCGCACTAGGTCTTTTTTTGCTTGCTTGCGTGTGTTGTGTGACTTTCAAAAATTTTGTGTGTGTACTCTCATTGCAACACTCGCGTCTTTTTGTATCTTTGGCCTCGAAAGAAACTTTTTTTCTATTTTTTTTCTGAATTCCCAAGACCTAACATCACTAATTTTAATGTTCTGGTTACCATCACAGTTAATAAGATGTCACCCAATTGATATTGATAATTTTTGCGGTCAAAACAGGTCTTAGTTCGTCGAAAAAGATGGGAAATGACTCTTTTATTATCACATGACTTTCGTAGATTCCCGCATTTCGGATGTTCGAGAAATTTTTCCAAAGCTTTTTAATGTTTAACACTTTCTGTTTTTTTTTTTTTGAATAAGTATGGAATATGCTATCCAAGCGGGGCTAGCAGTGATCTAGTGTTGTTTGTGTGTGCGTGTATTTGCCAAGCCCCTCTGCTCATTGGTGCTCGGGGAAGTCAGTGGTGCGGTGGGGCGAGCTTGCTCGCCGGCCCATTAAACTGCAGAGCGGTTCTCGAAAGTTCTTCGCGTTGAACCGGTTTCCCTTCTTTTTTCTTCGTTTTTTCTTCATTTTTTCGCGGTCTCTTATCGCAAAAGAAGATGTTTATCACAAGTTTATTACTTTGTTTGTGAAGAATTTTTTAATAAAGACCTTAGATATCGAAACAAAAAAAGAAAAAAAAAAGAAAAAATTGTTTCATTTATTCCTTATCATTTTTCTATTTTTCTTGCTTCCCTTCCTTGCAAAGAATCTTCTTTGAAAAACACATCACTTTTAAAGAAGAGCCGATGCAAAGAACAAGAAATGCTCTTTTTCCTATATTACACAATCTCTCTCCCTCTGCCCTCCTCCCTGTTTTTTCGTCTTTTTTCCCTTGTTGATATCGGAGGATGCTCCATGATTCTTTCGTTTTTCAACCACTTGTTCTTCTTTTTCTTATTTTTCCCCCACCCTGTTTATGGTTCAACAATTGCAGAAATCGATGAGCGACGGGATGGCGACAACAGCCGCAGCAGTCCCAATGAATGCAAATGGAGTAGACACGGGTAAGGTGCCAACAGCACCACCTGATGTGTTTTTCAGCACTGAAAATGAGCCGGAGGTAGTTTCATTGTGCATAGATAGTTGGAAATTGAGAAATGTGTTTTTTAGGATTGCACACCAGTCAAAATGGACCCCTTCGACAGACCCAAAAGCGACAAAGACCCAGTTGAAGACGCAATAGAGGTTAGTTGATCTCCAAATTCAGTAATTCAAACATCAGGACAGCAACTACAGTTTTGGGTTTGTCTAAAGTGCACGTGTTCTTCATGAACTACAGTACCGGCCAAAGAGATATACAGAAACGGATTTTTCATCTGATGTCCGCCCATTTTGACTATTTTCAAAAGTCTGAAGCTCGGCGGCCAAGTTTCCGATCATTTTGAAAATTTTAGAGAATGTAAAACACTCACAGCATTTTTTGAAAATTTCAAGTTTTTCAGATTTTTACCGATTTCCGAAAGACACATGTTTTTCACGTTTTCAGTACAAAAACCGGTCAAAATGGGTGTTTCTCAGAAATCAACTAATAACTGAAAAACTTGGAATTTTCCAAAAATTCTGTGAATGCAAAGTTTTGGATCTAGGTATAGTTTTGGATCTAGGTATTTTCAAAATTATCGGGAACTTGGCCTCCGAGCTCCAGACTCTTAAAAATGCCGGAAATCGACTGAAAAATATGTTTTTGTATATTTTATTGAGTGGTATTGTAGTTCATGAAAAACAAGTGAACTTAACACACTCAAAATTAAAAAAAAAATCCTAATTTTTTTTTGTGAATTGCCAGTTCAAAACCCGACCAAACCTTGCCAACTAACCGATATAATCGCATTTTCCAAAAAAAAAAACCGACTCTTTTTCCTTTTAATCAAGATTTTTTTATTTGATAAACCGGTTAAGTTTTTTTTCTCTTTTTTCGGGTTTTGTGCCTTTGAACTGTACTGCCATGGCAATTAGTATAAAAACCCCGCTGCCACTGAGAGGTTCCAGTCACAACTTGAGCCGATAAGGTTCTCCTTTTTTCGTGTGACCCGAAAAAATGGATCCTGTTTTGTAAGAAACAACTAGCGCCGAGAAATGAGGTGAACTCTTTTGGATTATTCAATAATTCGCTCTTAATAACCAATTTTCCTATTTTCAGAGACTTCTGAAAGTGATGGAGAAGATTGACTGCCCATATACACCGGGAAAGGAGAAAGGAGTAGATCAGGATGAAAGTGACGATATGACGGAGAGCGAGGACCATGATGAAATGGCAAAGGATGATGAGGGCATACCAGCCAACGAGGTTCGTGTGGAAACCAGAAAAATGGATTGTACAACTGGTCAACTGGTTGCTCCGAGGATCTACGAGAAGGTTGACACCCTATCTTCGACTTCTGAATCATCTGCTGAAGAGGATGAGTCCATGATGATCATCAAGGAAGGGATACGAGTGTGTTATGGAGTCTGGAAGAAGAGACAGAAGAATTCTGAAATGGCATTGAAGGTTTGTTCAGAGCTGTCAATTTGATTCTATCAAAAAATTCTATATCAACTTTCAAAAACATTCAATCTTCTGAACTTTCCAGGGTTTGGCGATTGTTTTGGAACTGTGCTTGACCCAACCATCAGCGCGTGACGAAATATTCTCTGTGCTCTTGGAGACGCTGGGATTCAACACGGTGAGTCAGCTGTTGGCAATGCAACAACAACATATAAAATTTGCAAGAAAAAGAAATTTGATGTTCAACTTTGATGTTTCTGCAGGTCACTTACTGGAAAGCAGTGGTCCCACAAGTGGTGGACTCAGATTTGACATATGCTACACAGTACCGAGAGGCGTTGTTGTTCTCCATGTGCTTGTATGATGTGAATCATAGCAAGAATCGGCTCCGTGAGCTCTATGCAGCAATTCCTGGATTCAGACAGAGTATGCTTGGCATCAGAGCCAAACAGTTCACGGAGAGATATCGTCATCTTCAGATGAAGGTACAAAACGGGTCAAAATATACCGAAGATCTAGAAAAGTACCATTTTAGATTGCTCGTTCTCGTCAAAGCTCCAGAATGTCATCCAAATACGGCTCTGAAGACAATATTCAAGCTATGGTCACTCTGGCCAATGATGTCATCATGGACGAAGAGACAGCGCCAACTCAAATGCCACTGGTCGACATGTCGCACGATAAGGTACACGATAATTTAAAAGCTCTAATTTTGCATCACTTTGTTTTTTTAGCAACGTGTCATCAACGTCTCAAATGCACCGCCAGTGTCAATCAGCAGAAAAACAAGCGGGTCTTGGGAGATCAAACAAGGTTCGGGTGGACTGGTGGCGTGTGTGGATCCAGTAATGTCGGCTGATAAGAAGAACATATGGCTGTCGAATCTGGGGGTCAACATGCAAGAGGAGCTCAAAGTAGGGATATTTTTAGGGTCTTGGGATGAAACAAAAACAACAAAAGTACAATCTTCAGGAGCACTCGACTACAACGAACTCCATTGGACTCCCACTCATCAAGCAAGCGTGCGCTGGAGAAGTTTTCTGCGTATTAGAGCGGAATGAGAAAAAAGAGCTGACTCCGAAACAGCAAGCTGTGGAGTGAGTGATCATTTTGAGGGGAAAATGATGGCAAAATGAATTTTCAGAAGCGATATGTCTCTTCTCTCCGTATTGAACACTTACAACAAGCACAGTTATCAACTGAACCCAGTAGTGGTCAACCAGGTACGCTCTATTGGACAAGTTACGGTTTTTGAATATCAGGAAACCAAAAACATGTTCAGCAATGTGACTCTGAGGGTTTAGGACTGTTTTGAGCCAATTTTGAACCTTTTCGGTCAATTATGATGCATTTAAACTTTTTTTGCATCATTTTCAATTACTTAACGTCATTTCTATCCATTTTTCAATATTTTCTAGCCAATTTTAGGGCATTGAAATCACTTAAGGACCATCTCTAGTTCTTCTTGGACCTTTCCCTCAAACCTGACAGCCAGTATTGTTCAATAGAACACAGGGACGCGCATTATCGATTTTCTCGGTCCGCTGCGCAGTGCGACGCGTACAAACTGCCGACCACTACCATTTCGTTCTTCGCACATCTAAACAACGTGTTTTTCTCGCGAATCTTGTAGTTTTTCCAACTTTTTTTCACAAATCTGTCTGATAACTCTTGACCGAATTTCTCTGGCGATTTTCCCCGTTAAAATCGCACGAAATACCGACTGTATAGGCGAAAATTCATGAAAATGCCCATTTTGAACGATAAACTCTCATTTTTCCGCTTATAAACTAAATTTTGCAGGTAAACCTATTTAAAAACTCTCAAATTTACTTGCTTGCCAATTTTTAAATGAAAATATACAATATTTTCCAATTCCAGGACGATTATGACACCTACTACGGAGGAATTAGCAACGGACTTCTTTGGCCAGCGCTTCACAACTTGCCACAGTTCATTTCACCATGCTACAATGATCCAGAGGTACATACTAAATTCAGAAGATCGGTTTGATGCTATTTTTCAGGCACTTCGTGAGCAATGGTGCGCCTATGTCCGCGTCAACTACCTCTTCTCGATCAACGCCGCTAGGAATAGTCGCGCTCAGGACTTTATTTGGATCCACGACTACCATCTGATGCTCTGTGGACAGATTATGAGATCCTTGGAAGGAAGTCTTGATGTGAGCAGTATAGAGGAGAGAGAAGGAAAACAAAAAGAGTCACTTCAGATCGGATTCTTTTTGCATATCCCATTCCAACCGCCAGCAAACTTCATGACCAAGTATAGAACAGTTGGAGAGCCAATCGTTCGTGCTCTGTTGAGATTCACAAAAGTTGGATTCCAAACCAGTCGTGACAGAGAAACATTTGTAAAATTGGTGGCTGATCATATTAAAAGAACCAAGATTGACTATGATTCTCGTCTAGATCGCTACACCATAGAGCATGATGTAAGATTTTTTTGTGCACGTTTGCTGTGAACCTAACAACATGTTTTCAGGGATTTGCGTGCTCTCTTGGTGTGTTCCCAGTGTCTATTAAGATCGCTGACTTTGTCAACATCGCCAAAAACCCTCAAACCGTCATCGAAGCAGAAGAGATCAGAAAACAAGTAAACGAAAATGAAAAGTGTGTTATCATTAAACTCCTTTTTATAGATAATGGGAAAATGCGCCGATGGTGGTCAATTGTTCTTCTCTGTCGAGAGATTTGATTACACCAAGGGAATCGCTGAGAAACTCCGCGCATGGCAGAGATACTTTGAAAAGTACCCAGACCGTATTGGAAAAGATGTCCTGTTCCAAGTCGCCGTGACTAATAGAAGATCCGTTGAGTCATATCGCCAGTACCAAGATGATGTGATGGCTTTGGCAGAATTGATCAATCAGAAATTCCACAGCGAACAATACCCTGAATGGAAACCGGTGATTTTTGAGACAGATGGACTACCAAGATCTCGACTTATTGCTCACTACCTCGCCATGGATATTGGAGTAGTAACCCCATCGAAGGACGGAATGAATTTGGTGGCTAAAGAGATGCTCGTGTGCAATCCTACAGCTTCCCTCGTCCTATCCACTGGTGCTGGAACTGAAGTCCAGCTGAGCAACGCCCAATTCTACTCTGAACAAGAGGGCAAGTGCTACCACAGAGTTGAAGATATTGCCAACACTGAAGCGTTTGCGGATAACTTCTTCGCTGCAGCCACAGAGAGCAAGGAGACCAGAAACAAACATGGAGAGAAAATAAACCAGTTCCTTTGTGTTCATGACATTGATGAGTGGAGTGACCAATTCTTGGATCCAAAATGGACTCACGAGGTTATAAGTGAATGCGAGGTAGGCACAATGCCTTTTTTTCAAGGCTTGAAACAGAAAATTTCAGGTAAAACAACTCGGACAATTCTATGGACTCATGAATCGCACCGCGCAAGTTCGTCGTCAAATAGTTGAATGTGTGTTGAAGGGACTTCCTATCAGACCACACTTCAAGTTCTCTCTTGAGAATGCTAAGGTAACTAGACAGGCGAATGATTCGGAGTGTACAACACTTGTGGGCTTATTAGGGCACAAAGCAATTCAGGGCTGCAAAATACTTTAAAAATCCGAATTGTACCCACGAATTGTGGCTTGTGCACTCCCGAATTATGCGCCAACTAGACAAAATTGACCTTAAACTAAATTCGAAATTATTCAGACTTCTTTGGAAACATCATGCCCCGAGGGAACAAGCAAACTGACACTAGAAGCTGATGAGGAGTCTGGAGAGGAGAAGGGATTCAAGATTACATATGACATCCATGATGAGCTCAGTGAGATGGAGAAAGATCTCGCCTTCTTGTCTTTCATCCAATCTGATGAGTATGAGAATGCCGAGGAGTTCATCAAGACCATTGGGTCGTTCTACGAAGGTGGACCGATCCTTTTCAGCGAGGAGGTCAAACAGGCCGCTGAGATGTTGCAGCGAGGAATTCACTACAACACATTCTTTACTGATCGGTGAGAAGTATACTCTAATTTCTATTTTTCATTTCTTGATTTTTTAGTGATGGTACTTTGAAAAGCTACGCTTGCTCATACCCAACTAGTGTCCAACCAGCTTACTCTGCAGTCATCCAAGCACAGTTTGCTCGTCGTTGCGCCACATTCTGTGCCATTGTCACCACCGCTCCACTGATCCATACCGGAATTCTTGAGGTTGCCACTATTCCAGAAGGATACTACGCATATGGAGCATCTGCTGGAAGAGAATGGTATCTGAATCCAGCCCAGCAGTTCAAGGATCGCTCTTTCTCGGCTGTGGATTTGACTTTGATGAATAAGGTGTTTGAATTGGTAAGTTAAGATATCAGGGAAACAATAAATTCAAATTAAAATATTAATAATTTGCATTTCAGATTGAGGAGCTTCTCGAGAAACCAGAATTCCGGACATTCAAATGGATCGGAAGCGGAATTCAGAAGCATTGTGGCCACATCACTATTGCCAAGCAAGATGTGAATGGAACAATCCCAGCAAGAAAAGTCACCCGGCTCCATGAGCAGTTGGTGAAGATTGTCAATGATTTTGACCCAACTGGCACCACGTTGACGATGAGAGAATCAGACTTGGACTTTAAGATTTATGTGAAGGTGAGCATTCGATTGTAAAAATTATCACATTCAAAAAAAATGATTGCAGGCAAAACTGAAGGGACGTATTTTCAACAAAGGCCATGGAATCCGTTTGGTGAAGGAGCGACTGAAGCCAAACATGTCCAAAGGTAGCTGTCTGGTTTGTGGAGACAGTGAGTCGGATATTCCAATGCTCGAGGAGTGTTTGAAGTTGGCTGGATCGAAAGTGTACACGATTTGGGTAACCAGGGATCAGGCGTTGCAGGAGAAGGTTAGTGAGATTTTTAAATCATGAAAGCTTGCTCTAAAGCTACAGTGCTGGCCAGAAATATACGCAAAAATATGTTTTTAGTCGATTGTTACTATTTCCTGGTTCTCAGCTGTCAAGTCGAGAGCTCAGGTGGCAAGTTTCCAAACACTTTGAAATTTTTGAAGGTTATAAAACAGATCTAGATTGAAAACTCTGCATTAACAGAATTTTTCGAAAAATCCTAGTTTTTCAGTTATTTGCCGATTTTTGAAGGACATCCTTTTTTCCGTTTTTTTACTGAAAACGAGCCAAAAAAACATATCGTTTAGAAATCAGCAAATAACTGAAAAACAAGGAATTCGAAAAATTCTATAAACGCCAAGTTTGTAACCTAGGTCTGTTATATAACCTTTAAAATTTTCAAAGTGATCGGACTCTTGACAGCCGAGCTCCAGACTCCTGAAAAATGATCAAAAATTAACTGAAATTCAAGTGTTTTTGTATATGTATCATATTGACCGACACTGTATGTATTTTTTCTTTCTATCATCAATTTCGCTTGCTTTCAGGTCTCCCAACTTTGCGAACGCTACAGTTGCACCAATATCCACTACGTCACCTGCCCACAAGTCCTTCTTGGAGCCATGGCTTACGCCACAGCTCATACTCTCACAAATGAGAAGAACAGAAAGGCCGACTCGTACTATGATGACTCGGACACCCCAATGGACCAAGAGGACACTCCATCCAAGCAACAATGATGATTTGTGATGCAATTTTTCTCCCTTTTTATTATTTTTTTACTTGTATTAACCTCCCCGGCAGCTACAGTATTTTCCCTGATTAATTATTCCTTTTTCTTTTTTTTTTCTTTTTTTAAACTTTGTTTAATATCCCGGCAATCTTTTTTTCCGGTCGTAACTTTGCCCATCCCTCCCCTTGACCATCATCCATAATACTTGTAATTACAGTTCTCTTTTCATATTAGATCACTCTGTTTCCCCCAACCAGTTGATAGAAGATTCTCCGTGAGAACCCAGATCCCATTACCTGTCACTTTAGAGTGAATTTCATTTTTTACGAATAAAATGATTGCATATGTATATTTCGTTTTCGTATTTTGACGAGACTAAAACGACCCGAAATTTATATTCAACGCGCCACACAGACTGCATGACTAATGAGAGCTCTCGAAAAAACGGGGGGGGGGGGGGGGCTCATGACTCCAAGCACAACACAAAATTTTCGGCTCTCCTCTCGTCTTCTCTTTCCATTTTCAGTCTATGAGATTGCAGACGGCGTGAGGGGCGGGCTCCACGCACACACACAGCCGTTTCATTCGAAAATCGATAGAAAGGCGCCTAGAAGAGGGGAAAAAAGAAGACGTGCGTTTTGGAGCAGTAGGAAGGCTCCGACCGGCGGAATTTAGTCCGCAGAAAGAGAATGGAGGCTGAAACGCCACCAGCAAGAACACTGGCGTACGGTACTTCGGAAACTATAGATGGTGAGTCAAAGGTTTTAAAAAATTTGAGCTAATTTGAGTGCCTAATAAGGTTAGTTACAGTTCCGCCCAATAAGATATACAAAAACGTATTTTTTTGGAAGTTTTTTTTTTGCCATCCTGCCCATTACAATCGAGCTCCAGACTCATGAAAGTGGTCAAAATGGCCGAAAATCCAATGGAAAATATATTTTTATATCTTATAGACCGGTACTGTGGGTGTACGATCAAATTAACAATACATGAGACACGTTGTTTAGAATAATTTTTTTCATCGATAAAAATTTCATAAACAAAGTTTAGAGTAGCATAATTGTTTAGAAAACGTATCAAATTTTATTCAATCAATCCCAAATAAACATCCACACTCACTCTCTTTGCGAACAAACGACACAAAAGGTGTTGTGTGTCCTTTGCCCCGTGGTTTTGTTCCTTTTGCTGTCTCTATCTCTCCAAATCGTTCACTCTATCTCTCTCGGCACTGTCCGTCGAACTGTCTTTGAGAAAACGTTAATGATCGTTTCTTTCTAACCTATATTTTTATGAAAAACACTGCGTATGTATCGGATATTGAGCCAGAATGAACATGAGACCTATGAGAGCTTTGATGATAAGCTAGAGAAGTTGGCAGGTAGGTTTTTTGAAGGTTTTCTGATCTTTTATTAGGTTAAAATCCAAGTTTTTCTCAACTCTATCTAATTTGGATACTTTTCAGATGATGAAGCGCTGGACGCAAAACGATGGAAACGACGTCATGTGGTGGCGGTGCTCGCGTTGCTTGGATTTGCCAACATCTACGCGATGCGGGCCAATTTGAGCATTGCAATCGTCGAGATGACTTCTGGAGGCGAGAGAAAAGTGAATGGAACAATGCTGCATGTAAGTGGGCGTAGAAGGCGTCAAAGATCATTTTGGGATTAGGGATTGGGTTGAAAACAAAATGAAAAAAGTCAGAAGTCAGAAAAACTTCAAAGGAGATTGGAATAATGGGTTTTGTCAAAAACAAAGGCTTTGGGGCCCACATTTCGAAACATTCTCGCGTTTTATTTAAATTGGGGGCTCCATAATTTAGTTTGAGAAATATTTCAGCCAGTAGTTTGATACCAGAGCAATTTCTAGTATCATTTTGATTGAAAAATATCATCTTGCGAAGTGAATTGAAAAAATAATATTCTTTTAAAATTCAATAATGACTAGAAAACCTCGTTTCATCCAAACTGTTCTCATCTACAGTACCGATCTATGAAACAAACAAAACACTTGTTTTTCAGTTGATTTTTAGCTATTTTGATCATTTCTTTCCATTTTCAAAAGTTTTGAGCTCGGCTGTCAAGTCTTCTATCACTTTGAAAATTTTGGAAAGTGTGCAACAGAAACTTTTTTATTCACAAAATTTTTTGAAAATTTCTAGTTTTCTAGATGTTTTCTGATTTCTGAAAAAAAACACCCTGTTTTTCACGTTTTTAGCACAAAACGGACTGAAACGGGGTGTGTCTCAGAAATCGGAGAATTTCTGAAAAACTAGGAATTTTCAAAAAATTCCAAGAAAGCAACGTTTTCAATTTATGTCTGTGTTATACCCTCCCAAAATTTCCAAGTGATCGGCAACTTGACATAAACTTGAGCTGTTCAGAATGAGAAAAATGGTCAAGATGGCGAAAACAAACTGAAAAATACGTTTTTGTGTATTATTTTGACAAATATTATAAACTTCATTTTGAGTTCAATTTTAAAAAAAGGATAATCTCAATTTCAGGTTCATGGTGACTTTGAAAACTGGACTCCAATGACCCAAGGAGTCGTTCTCAGCTCCTTCTTCTATGGTTACATTGTGTCCCAACTACCCGGAGGATATCTCGCCTACACACATGGAGCAAAGACCGTCTTTTTCGCTGGTACATTTGGTAGGGCTCTCCTACCCATCTCCCATATCTCTTATTTATTTATAGGAACCGCTGTCTTCACGCTTCTCACTCCTCCATTCGCCAGAATGGGTTGGGGAATGCTGGTGTTTGCTCGTTTCATGGAGGGATTACTGGAAGGAGTCACATATCCAGCGATGCATGTTATCTGGAGTAGATGGGCACCACCGCTGGAGCAAACGAAATTGGCTACTTTTGCGTTTTCGGGGTTGGGAACCATGAAACAAAGACTGAAAACTGAATATAGCATTTTTTCAGATCATACTTTGGAACTGTAATTGCTATGCCCTTGTCTGCCTATATTGGAGAGAGTTTTGGATGGCCAATGATTTTCTGGTTCTTCGGTAATCCTTGTTTCATCCTGTTCCCAAAAAAACCCCGTTTTTCAGGCGCGCTTGGTGTGATCTGGTGCACTGTGTGGTATAAGACGGTGCATGATCGGCCAGAGGATGATCCGAAAATCACAACTTCCGAGCTCGCTTTACTGCAGCGTGATGCCTTCAGCCAGAGCCATTATGTGAGTTGGCGTGTGTGTTGGGAAAAGAGAAATAGGAGGAACTTTTTGTATTACACAAAAACATACACATGAAAAGGGATGAAGGGAAAAAGCTGGAGCACTTTTTCGTGGAGAAAAGAACACGATGAAAGTTGACAGAGAGATTGAGAAGGAGAACAAAATGCGACAAACATGAAAATTGGGAGAAAATATGATCTTATGTACAGTACTGGTTGATAAAATACGAAAAATGTATATTATTATTTTCGTTGATTTCTTAACCATTTTCAGAAGTCTAAAGCTCGACTGCCACGTATCGTACCATTTTGAAAAGTTGGGAGGTTTTAAAACATATCTAGGTTGAAAATTTTGCTTTTACAGAATTTTTTGAAAGTTCCTAGTTTTTCAGATATTTGCCGATTTCTGAAATACACCTGATTTCCGAAGGACACATTTTTTTCAGAATTTCAGTTCAGAACGGGGCAAAGAAAGAGTGTCTTCTAGGAATCGATAAATAGCTGAAAAATTAGGAATTTTCAAAACATTCTAAAACTGCATATTTTTCAATTTAGATCTGTTTTACACTTTACAAAATTTTCGAAGTTATCGGATACTTGACAACTAAGCTACAGACTCTTGAAAATGGTCAAAATGACCAACTGAAAAATATGTTCTTGTATATTTTATTGACCTGTACAGTAGTTAAAATAATATTATAAAAAACTAATTCTTTCAGCTTGTTCCATGGGGCAAGATCCTTCGCTCCAAACCTGTCTGGGCTGTTATCATGGCCCACAGTGCCCAGAACTTTGGATTCTATATCATGCTCACTAATCTCCCACGGATGCTGAAAGATATTGCTGGATATGATTTGGAGAAAGTCAGACACATAGACAATTCCAAATTACGCATTTCCATAATTTCCAGGCTGGTCTTGCGAGCAGCCTTCCGTATTTCTTGATGGGATTCCAAATTGTAACCGGAGGGCAGTTGTGTGACTACTTGAGAAAGAATAAGCACTACGACACACTATTCGTGAGAAAGATGGCATGCGCTGCTGGTACTTATGACTAATCGAATTTTAAAAATTGCGAAAAATTTTAAAGGATTTATCGGACAAGCGGTGTTCCTGTTCCTGGTAATGACCACCAGCAACTCCCTTCTTTTGGTTCTCTTCTTCTCGATCTCAATCGGACTCGGTGGAATTTGCTGGTGCGGATTCTCGGTAAATCATTTGGACTTGGCCCCTCAGTATGCTGGACATCTTATGGCTGTTTCCAACACCTTCGCCACTATCCCAGGAATCTTCGGACCCCTTCTAGTCGGAGCTATTGTAGAAAATGGAGTAAGAACTTGAAAAATAATGGTTCTTTTTCTAAAGTTCGCTTCTTTTAGATAATTGGAGAATGGAATGTAATTATGTACATCATTATATCTGTCTATCTTGCTGGAGCCGCATTCTTCTGGAAGTTCGCCGATGCCTCAATCCAACCATGGGCGTCGGAGAGCACCTCGTTCGTTGGACAGCTCGAATAGAAAGATAGATCACATATCGGATAATTTCGCATTTCGTTTACTATCAGATTCTCCCCTTTAGAGACATAATTGAGTTGCATTCCAGAGATTGATAATGTGTTGAGATTTCCAAGTTATTCTTTTTTCATTTTGAAAATTTTCCCTGAAAAAAAAGAATAAATGACTTTGGACGTTAAGTTTGGATCTTGAGATTATTTATTGCGTTTTACATAATTGAAAATACAGTAGAACTTTTGGACTAGTCCCTAGTGGGAGAATGTATATGCACCACAAGTAACTGCTTTAAAAGAGAAAAAGAGAAAAAATGAAAAAAGAATTTGGGGGAAATTATAAGGAATAGCGAAAATGACAGTAGTAGTGTAGGGCGTAATGAACAAAAGAAACCATTTGGGGTGATAAGTGTGGAAGCGCAGTCAGACGACGTGGTTAGGAAATCGAGGGTGGCCAGATGGCTTCGAATTGACGTACTTCTTCCAACTTGTGGAAGAAGATGTCAAACCAACCGGCAACCATACGTTTCCAGGTGATTAAAATGAGGATCTCGGCTAGATAATGAAGGGTAATGAGCGGCGAGTGTAGCGAAACGCGCGCGGAATGGGTTAGAGCATCGTCGTCTGAACGCAGCGCCACACTAAATGACAACAATAGTTCAGGTGAATAAGATGGTGGATCGGGTTGAGAACAAGTGGACTCGTTCTCAAGCGATACACCAGGTTGAACACGAGAATATTGTTGACGCCACTCCCAAAACGGTTGCAATTGCTTGTGGGCTTGAAATATTCAGGCGCTGGCGAGCTCGTCTTGGGCTCCGGTGGTGATAAGATGGGCGAAGGCCTTGTAGTCGACCTCTCCTCCCTCGATTGGTGGCTTTCCCTGGAAATTTCATTGATGACTATTAGCATTATCACTAATCAGTAGCTTGAAAGTTATCTATTTACCTTATACATGGCCTTGATCTCGTCCTCGTCCAGTGGCTCTCCTCTCTTGTTTTGAAGGATCTTGATGAGCTCGTCCTCCTTGATCTTTCCACAGTCCTTCTTGTCGAACATAGCGAAGGCTCCGACGATGGTGGCCTCTGGGTCAGTTCCTGAAAATTAATTTAGTTGGAATTAATTCACAAAATCATCTAGATTATCCCTAGTTGCACTATTTCTTACCGGTCAATCGCTCTCCGAAGAGGGTGAGGAAAACGGTGAAGTTGATTGGTCCGGAAGCCTCCTTGATCATGGCGTCGATCTGGCTGTCTGGGGCGATTTGTCCCATGGAAGCGTAGAGATCCTTGAGATCGGACTGAAAACAAACCAATTTTCGAAGCTACTATTCTTCAAGATAAGACAAACCTTGTCGATGACTCCGTCCTTGTTCTGGTCCATGATACCGAAAGCCTCCTTGAATTCTTGGATGGTCTTCTGGTCGAATTGAGCGGCCTCGGATCCCGAGCGCTTCTTGGAGGACTTCTTCTTGGCGGCCTTGGACTGAAACATCAAATTTAGTAATTGCAAGAAAAGGGTTTTACATTTTTTGTCAACTAACTATCCTAGTTTAGATGATAAATAGGAAATTGGAGTTTTGAATAGACTTACTCATGTTATGATATAAGGTGTAAGGTATATGGTATGAGATATAAAAGGTATAAGTTAATCGATGTAAGTCTTATAATATAAGTTTGTCTTCTGATATAAGTCTTTTAGTAGAACTCATGGAAACTCACCATTTTGTGGACTGTGTTGAGTAGCTGAATGAGACTGACTGAAGAATATCCGTCGCTCTTGTCTCCCTTTTACACTGTCGCGGCACCCCGAGGAGGCTTCGGAGATGGAGAGAAAGAGGAGAGCTAGCTGTTTGAGCAAATCTCAACAACTTTACACAAGAGGCGCACCGCCCCCGTGGTGCTAACATCAGGCATCCGATGGAGGTTTCCTAGAAGATGATGGGCACAAAACTCACTCGCGATTGCTGCTCTCGCCGCACTCCTCTCATCGACTTACCCGCGCCATCGGGGCCCCCGAAAGTTCTCCGATCACATAAATTGAGAAAATGGAAAAAGAAACAGGGGGAGATGCGGGTGGTGAGGAAGGGGTGAAGCAGTGGGTGAGAATGGCGAGATGCATTAGGGATCAGTGAATGACAGGTGGTCAGGAGAGAATATCTTTTTTTCAGAAATCATGAAAATCGTAGTATCTTTACTTTATGATCCTGATAATCATTTTTCAAAAGTTTAAATCATTTTTCAAAAGTTTCAATGATATGATAGTATCAGAGAATGCAGATAGTAAAAGCTGTCCTTCCAGTTGAATTATAGCACAATATTTTTCTTTCATCCATGTTTTTTTAAACGTAATAAATACAATACAATACAATACAATATTGGAAAAAAAAAAGAATTTTGAAGTACGAATCATTTTTTTCAGATATCAATATGTTGAATGCGTGGTTAGCAATTACTCCATTCTTGTTTCGAAATATTACTATGATTTTCTCAAAGCAAACTTGCACTTTAAGCCTATTTATTTCGGCTCCTGTGAAAGATGTGAAAATGTAGTCAACTGGAAAATTTTTCATCATATCATCACCAATATTCCATAAGTAGACAAATGTTTGATTCCTTTTACAAGTACCAAAATAAATGAGCTCAAAGTGCAAGTACAGAATTTTCTTCTATTAGATTGTTTATGATAAATTAGTACATCGGTGATTTTAAAAATATATGTTTCTCGAAACTACAATGAGAAAGATAAGATTTAAACTAAAATGGAAAAAAAAACTATTTGGCCTTTATGTTGTTTCCTGAAATCATACTTATACTAAATCTGTTTTGATTTAACTTTGATTCTAATTTATAGTTTTTCCTGTTAATATGTTTTGTTGATGGCGCGAGAGTGTCTCCCATCTGAATTTACTGTTTGTTATTGTTGGAAAATAGTGAATTTTGAGCTGTTTGGTACGATACTCCTGTTACATTCTCTGTTCTGAAAATCTCAGTCAAAGTCCATGTACCGTAATTCCTCTATTAGAAGCCCACCCAAACCAACAACTTTTTGCTCAATTATCTCGATTCATGTGAAAGATATTGAAAATTTGTCAACTGATGAAATATTGGTGATATTATGATAAGTAATTTTTTAATAGACTGCAAGTTAATATCTTTCACAGGAATCGATATAAATAAGTGGACGGTTTGGGTGGGCTTCATTAGAGGAAATGCAGTATACTTTCCCTAAAAATTCATAGTGTGATTTGCTGTTTTGCTCCTAAAATATTTTCCAGCTCAATTTTCCAAAAAAAAAAATGACCTAACTTTTTTGCATTCTATGACTCCGAGAATTTAATAGGGATCCTTGCGGGCTTCCTGGTCTGAAAACAACATTCTATGCGTCAGCTGTCACCCGACCGCTCAAAGTTTTCCCCGACGTCTTGAGGTTTTTTTCCTTGAAGGTTTTGGTTTTTTTCGGATTTCCAGGTTTTTGTGAAAGGGGAATAACGAACTTGGTTTTTTCTAGGAAAACATTAAATAGTTTTGTTGATTTTGATAAACAGGGATCAATGAATGAACTAACAATTTTCAGAATCAGAATTCACCGAAACTGTGCCACCATGCTAGTATCTATCCTAGTCTACTGCTCTATTTCTGTATAATTTGGCCACCCTCGTGTTGATCATTCATCTTCCCGAACCCTGCTTTTTTATGACATCCACCCTCGCTTTGCGTTTCTGCGCAAAAGCATCGACAGCAGCAAAAAAAAGCGAATCTACCACCTTGACTTTTACTTGCTCCTAAAGATGCACTTGAAAAATATTCAAAGCCAAACAGTTGGCTTTTTCCAAAAATTCTTCTTCCTTCTCGCTATTCTCTAGATATTTGCGTTTCTCAAATAGAAAAGATATTGCGTATATCCCTTCTCCCGCTGCTGCCAGCACAAGAGTAATCAGGAGTGTCTGAGGATCCCAAAGAGACACCAGACATTCGAGTCGGGATCACGGCACCGCTCTTTCGGTCGCGAATCTATCCGATTCGTGTTATCTCTACGCTGAGAAACTTTCGCGGACCGTTGTATTACACTATATTAGAAACGGCATCCCGAGAATCTGCCACCCTCCGCCGATTGCCTACTAACTTGCATCCCGATGCCGACGAGAAAAGAGCACCTCCTCCTTTTCGTATCACCTCCCTTTTCCTTCAGCTACTCCTCCTTCTCTTCCCATACGCCTACCAACCAACCATTATTATCGCAGTGCTCTCGACAGGATCGGGGAAAACGAAAACTTCTTCTCTTTGCTTTTCATTCGTTCCGTGTGTGTGTGCATCTCAAAGTTTTTGCTCTCACTTTTCCTACCAATCGTCTTAATTATCAGTGTTTCTCTTTTTATTCTTCGAGTTTTTAGGTAGAGAACCTTTTCCAACATGTCCAAGGCCGCCAAGAAGAAGTCCTCCAAGAAGCGCTCGGGATCCGAGGCCGCCCAATTCGACCAGAAGACCATCCAGGAGTTCAAGGAGGCTTTCGGTATCATGGACCAGAACAAGGACGGAGTCATCGACAAGGTTTGTCTTATCTTGAAGAATAGTAGCTTCGAAAATTGGTTTGTTTTCAGTCCGATCTCAAGGATCTCTACGCTTCCATGGGACAAATCGCCCCAGACAGCCAGATCGACGCCATGATCAAGGAGGCTTCCGGACCAATCAACTTCACCGTCTTCCTCACCCTCTTCGGAGAGCGATTGACCGGTAATTCATAGAATGTTGGGAACTAATTTCAATTTAACTAATTTTCAGGAACTGACCCAGAGGCCACCATCGTCGGAGCCTTCGCTATGTTCGACAAGAAGGACTGTGGAAAGATCAAGGAGGACGAGCTCATCAAGATCCTTCAAAACAAGAGAGGAGAGCCACTGGACGAGGACGAGATCAAGGCCATGTATAAGGTAAATAGATAACTTTCAAGCTACTGATTAGTGATAATGCTAATAGTCATCAATGAAATTTCCAGGGAAAGCCACCAATCGAGGGAGGAGAGGTCGACTACAAGGCCTTCGCCCATCTTATCACCACCGGAGCCCAAGACGAGCTCGCCAGCGCCTAAACATCCAACAACACATTGCACCGAGTCTACAATTGCCTTATTGAATCAATTTGATGTTTCATTTTTTCTCATTTATTCATTTGAATTATAATCTTGCAACATGGATTAGTGCAATAAATGGTGGCGATAAAACTAGTTGAAATTTAATAATTGGCTTTTGATTTTATAGTAATACTCAGATGGAAAGGATTTCAAAATCTGAAAAATGGATCTATCTGAATAGAGGTCTGAACAATAATTTTCATTTCTACTAAAGCATTTAGGAGAACGTGAGAACTGGCGTGAATGGGAAAAGATTACAAAGTATTGGAGAGACTATATCACAATAATAAAGGACTGGTAGGTAAATAACACGATACTGGACTGTAATTGAGGAGGGGGACAAGTATGGGAGCAAAGCTAAATGCATTGTATTGAGGAACGTCTGCACAGCAGACCTTATTATGTATATTATGTACAAAAATCTAGTCTGGGACATTTAAAAAATTCGCATCTCATTTTCAACAGAAAAAATGTACATGCATCAGAAGGAGGTGAAAAAAGGAATGAATCACAACAATAGTAAGATGATTATTATAGATATGAGATGCTTTGAATGAAAGTGAAATCGATGAGCCTTATTATTCCATCATGGGCTCATCGTTGGATCCTTGAGGTGGATCTGGAACTGGTGATTGTTCTGGCGCACTGGGTCCCTCAAATTGGTAGGGCATGAGCTGGCGTGGAAATGGATCCATTGGCTGTGCGAAGACTTCCATCGCGGCTTCGGCTTCGGTGAGTGGACGTACGCGAAGAATCACCCAGATCGATTCTGAAATTTGAGGAATTGTTGTGAGAAGATAAATTTTAGCACAATTTCTGAATAGTTTTTCTAGTTCCAGGCTAATTGTATTGAGAACATTGGGAGATACATTGTACTGGTATCTTCTTATCTGGTAAATTATTGACATGAAAACAATGAAGTTGGATGTTAGCTGATGTTTCAGCTGATAAGATAGAAAAGTTTCAGTTAAACGTCACCTAAGATAGGTTAGTGAATTTTTCAGAGGTCCTAGCGGTTTCGAAACTGGGAAAAAAGTTATCAGAAAGCTGGCCAAACGGCTTTACTAAATAGAAGAGGCCTCGGGTAAATTAAAACAATTTTTATTAAATTTGAGCTGCCTATTTCTGTCACATGTACTCGAGATACAAAAGGACAGGGCCTAGCAGAGTACCACATCTTAAAAATAAAGAAGTTTTCAGTAATTTACGGCGAATACAATTATTCCATCCATTTTGTTTATTATTGTTTAACTAGCTTGCTGGTACGCCTTCGGCGCAATTTAAACTAGTTTTTTTACTAGTTAGTCGCGTTTTGTGTTTTATTTATAAGAAAAAATTCTCTTCCAACATGATAGCTTCCAGCTAGTAGCTGCAGTAGATCATCGAATATACCGGTCCGGTCGTTCACTACTCATTTGTCCGTATGCTCAGAACTTTTAGAATCCTATTTTCTTAATAGAGTCATTCATTTTTTATGAATACTTACCTCCAAAGAAGATGTTCTGTGGAGTGACAAACTGGAATCTCGCCTTGAAGTCTCCCATCTCGAATGGGCACGTGATACGGATCTCGATATTTTCCGACGCGTCTGGATCCAAAACTGTATCCTTCCACACTTCGTAATCGATCGGGTCACCTGGAAAAAAACTATTTGTATAGAAGGTATAGAAGAGTTTATCCGAGCTTCTAGATGCTTCGAGCCTGAGAGTGTCTGCTGGCACATGAATCGAAGGGTAAACCGAATCGAAGGTACAAGGGGGTAGAAAGTGATTTAAGGGTACAAAATCTACAATTTAGGAACGCAACATTCGTTTTTCCCGGCATTTTGTACACCCGAATGGAGGGTTTCGAACCTCTAAATCGCTTTGTACACCAATTACCTCGAAATTTCGGTACCCACCGATACATTTGCCGTGTCTGGTTTAGCCTAGAGATCTGTCCAATACTAACTACTCACCATCAACAAATGCAAGCCGAGTGCCATCAGGCCATCTGAAGCGTCCGTCATTGACAACTCGCCAACCGATGAAGAATGTGGTGTTTGGGCGGTATGTGAAGGTCTGAAACAAGCATTTTTTCGTAATGCAGCATAATTAGCTGTCCCAACCCCTGAAATCGCTTCCTTGTTCGTGCATTCCTTGACTGTTGATGAGAGACACGACTGACGAAAGGCCTCCTCCATATGCACCAAATCTCCATTCTGATCGTAGAATACAGAGATCGCAGTTGACAGATTCCTGAAAATTTGTGTATTATTATTTGTCGAATCCACAACAGGTCACCAGTTTGCAAGATCCAAATAGAAAGCGGCAAGCTCATGTGGGATGGCACGTGGAGCGATGATGTCGGTGAATTTGAGAATGAGGTTCTGAAAATTCTCGGTACATTTTTTGAATTGAATAAATTAAAGCTACCTCTCTGTCGTCGGTGGTCATCTGACTCATTTTTGATATCAAACTGTTTTCGAGCGCGTCCATGGCGAACTGAAATTGAGGAAATATAATAAAATTAAAGGATGGAAGCGAATACGAAAAGAAAGACGTTAGAAAAGTTGTTTTTGTAAGTGTATAACAGCCAAAATGTCATTGCCAGGGGCAACTGCGTCTTTTCGTGTTTAAAAATTAAAAAATATTGGTTGCAGAGGGAAACGTCGGCAAAATACTAACTGATAAAATTAATAATTATTAAATTTTATTTCCTATCTCTACTTGTTAGCGTACAGGAAATGTATAAACTCAAAATTATCAAAATTATCAAAATTCGTAAAATTTCGAAATGACACAATTTTTTTATGTTTCCATTCATCACAGGCGTTAGAGAAATTTAAGCAAAAACAGATACGACCCAAAATTGAATACCAAACCAATAGAAAAAAACGAAAACGGTCCTTGGAGAAAGGGAACACCGAATACCAAAAAAGAGACATAGAATCATGCTGACCTCTGAAATACGCAAACACAACGACGCGCATTTGCGGACTCTCTGCTAATGCACGTGCGCTAGATGAGATGGAGTGTAACGCACGGAGAGAGTGCTAGACAAAGAACCGGGGCAAAATAGGCTGTGTTTCGCCACGACGTCTGCCAATTATCACATCATAGGCACACACAATAAAGAACTCCAGGAGAGAAAAGGAAACCAAAAAAAATTAGGATTGAATGAAATATTTATTTTCTGAGAAGTTGAACAGAAATGCTCTTGTCAAAAAAATACTGGGCGGTCGGTTATCCGCAGTAAAACGATTTTGTAGGGACGTCGATCGTTTTCTTGTACGGAGCACAACACGATGCACGTGGGAAGAGACAAACGCTGTTAGCACAAGGTTGTTGGCTGGTGAATGCACCGCTGAAAATTTAGAAATTTGAATTTAATAAAGTTTAAAAGGGGTTCAACATACCTGCACTGACATCCGGATGGGAAACAATAGCGTTGCATGCTGATGATTCCACAGTTTCCACAAGTGTCGTTGCATGTCGCTCCGGGGGCCGCGGTCCAGGCAGTCCATGTTCCGGCGCACACTTCTGGCTGGAAAAGTTTCATTTTTTGGTGTTTTTTTTAAATTTTGTTTTCAAATCATGTAATCAAACTGGTTTACCGTATTAGCTTGGCAATACTGAGCTCCGTCGTATCCTGTGGCTAGATATTTGCCAGAGCAACAAGGAGTTCCTGTTGTACACGCCGCTTGTCCACAAATCCTGGTTTCCACTTTGTCATCTCTGAAATTGTGAAATTCAAGAGTTTTAAAAGAGAAATTGGCATGTAATTCGAAGGATACATTGATTGAGGGGTACAAGCGGTTACAAAGTGAATTAGGTACAAAAGACCACGATTCGGGGGTGCAAAATTCAAAATATTTTAGGTATTTTGCACCCCCGAATAGAAGATTTGGTACCCCAACGATCCCAAAATTGTTGTACCCTCCGAATTATCTGCCAGAGAGTTCGAAGGACCTGGAAGCAAAAATTGAAAATATGTACTTACACGCAAGGACATCCATAAGGTTCCGAAGCGCAGGTACGATTTCTGGTTTGGGTTCCACAGCCTCCACAAGATGCGCTGCATGTGGTCCAAGCGGTCCATTGATTCCAAAGTCCAATGTTTTCTGAAAAAAATGGTTTTTTTTAGATTTGAAAAATATGAATATTGCCAATTTTAACGGAGGCCAGACACCAAAAAAAAAAGTTTTTCTGATATTTAGCATAGAGAACCCCCATGAGGGTTTGAACTTATGACAGGCAGCTCAGGGGTACAGCGCCGCTACCGGCTGAGCTACGGGGGCGCGAAGGCGCCTGACGACCGATGGTCTACATAAGCGCGGCGCGATTTCGGCCCCCCGAACTGCCCCCGAAATTTTTGCTGTCTCGCCTCCTTTAAACACTAATGAATTGTGGGAACATTAAACATAGGTCTTAGTATGCCCCAGATTCGATTTCGGCGCTAACCGCTTACCTGGATCACAACAAGTCGTCTGCTCGGGATTAAAAGCTGGTGTTGTTGGCAATGGACCACAGAAGAAGCTCTTAGTGGCCACATCAATTGTCTTTTTGTAGCCAGGACAACAAGATGCTCTTGGGTACAAACAAACCGAAGAAGCACATGGTTGAGAATCCGTGGCAGCGCCCCTGAAACCGAAATTATAAACTTTTCTCACAAACTTTGACACTCACGTGCAGCTGCAACCATACTGTAATGACAGACAAACTCTAGATCTTGTTGTAGTACCACAAGATCCACATGTATCGTTACAAGCAATTGCAGTGGTCCATTCTCCCCAAATTCCTGCGCTCGGGCAGCAGTTTACACCGCAAGTGTTTATTTTTTCGGGTTCCGCTACTTGGGTGGGCTGAAAATCGTTATTTTGTTTTAACAGGTTTTTCAAAGACTTACCAATGGTCCGCAGGTGTGTGCATTGTTGATAACTGTTGCACTAAATCCTGGACAGCAACTCAACCTTGGGAAATAGCAAACTCCAACCCCGCATGGTTCAGTCAATGTTGAAGGGCCTCTGAAACAGAACAAGTCTTCTTAGCTACAGTAATCTCAACCTTACTGGCAAGGACAGCCATCTGCTTCCGATAGACATTCTCTTGTTCTTGTCTGATTTCCACACGATCCACAGTAATCTCTGCATTGCATCGGAGCCGTTGTCCATTCGGACCATATTCCAGTTTCTGCGCAGCAAGTTTCGGAACATGTTGGGTCGTATGGAGCATATGGTGTTGTGTAGTTTGGCTGAAAATTTCACTCCTGAATAGTAGCGAACTTTGGAGCTCACCTGAGGTCCGCATGCATGTGCATTATCAATGACAGTAGCCGAAAATCCTGCACAGCACGAGTCTAGTGGGAAATAGCAAACACCGATGCCACAGTTGACTTCACGAGAATCAGCGCCTCTGAAATTGAACAAAAATTATTAAATACATAAAAAAAAACTTGGACCAAAATTATCAAACCTGCATGGGCAAGAAGATGGTGAGAGACAGACACGCCGTTGAGTTTTCTGTGAGCAAGACCCACAGGAAGTTGGGCAGGCACCTCCATCGGACCATTCTGACCAGTATCCTCCAGATGATGGACAGCAAGACGGTGCGCAGAGAGTGGATGGTGGTGGGTCACTATCGTCCTGAAATAAATCCGCTAAGAATAAATACTTATGACTTTACTAACCCCTGCAGAACATTCGAATGTACTTCCAACGATAATTTTTGTTCTGGTACCACAACATGTTGCTCTTGGGTATTCGCATGGTGCTGGAGCACATTCTCCTGTTTTTGATGAGCGGCCACTGGAAAATTTTTTTTGGAAAACTAATACCCGAATTCAATGAAATACCTGCACGAACCACACATGCTCTGTGAGAGACAAGTTCTTGAATAGGTAGTTGTTCCGCAGTTACCACAAGTGTCGTTACAATTTCCGGTTTGTACCCATTCAGACCAAACACCTCCCAGAACACAGCACGCTGGTGTTGTGCCCATCGTAGTTGGAACTGTTGTGGTTGTAGCTGTAGTCGTCTTTGCCGTTGTTGTTGACGATGTTGAAACAGTTGCGGTCGAAGTCGTCCTTCCAGTAGTCGTTCTTGCCGATGTTGCTGGAACGGTTGTAGTTGGGATTGTACTAGTCTCAGCGGTCGAAGTGGCACTCGTCGTCGTCTCGACTGTCGAGGTCTCAGCTGAAGATGTTGGAACTATAGTAGTCTCAGCGGTCGAGGTGGCGATTGTCGAGGTCTCAGCTGAAGATGTCGGGACTGTAGTAGTCTCAGCGGTCGAGGTGGCGATTGTCGAGGTCTCAGCTGAAGATGTTGGAACTGTACTAGTCTCAGCGGTCGAGGTGGCAATTGTCGAGGTCTCAGCTGAAGATGTCGGAACTGTACTAGTCTCAGCGGTCGAGGTGGCGATTGTCGAGGTCTCAGCTGAAGATGTCGGAACTGTACTAGTCTCAGCGGTCGAGGTGGCGATTGTCGAGGTCTCAGCTGAAGATGTTGGAACTATAGTAGTCTCAGCGGTCGAGGTGGCGATTGTCGAGGTCTCAGCTGAAGATGTCGGGACTGTAGTAGTCTCAGCGGTCGAGGTGGCGATTGTCGAGGTCTCAGCTGAAGATGTTGGAACTGTACTAGTCTCAGCGGTCGAGGTGGCAATTGTCGAGGTCTCAGCTGAAGATGTCGGAACTGTACTAGTCTCAGCGGTCGAGGTGGCGATTGTCGAGGTCTCAGCTGATGATGTTGGAACTGTAGTTGTCTCAGCGGTCGAGGTGGCGATTGTCGAGGTCTCAGCTGATGATGTTGGAACTGTAGTAGTCTCAGCGGTCGAGGTGGCGATTGTCGAGGTCTCAGCTGATGATGTTGGTACTGTACTAGTCTCAGCGGTCGAGGTGGCAATTGTCGAGGTCTCAGCTGAAGATGTCGGAACTGTACTAGTCTCAGCGGTCGAGGTGGCGATTGTCGAGGTCTCAGCTGAAGATGTCGGAACTGTACTAGTCTCAGCGGTCGAGGTGGCGATTGTCGAGGTCTCAGCTGAAGATGTTGGAACTATAGTAGTCTCAGCGGTCGAGGTGGCGATTGTCGAGGTCTCAGCTGAAGATGTTGGAACTGTACTAGTCTCAGCGGTCGAGGTGGCGATTGTCGAGGTCTCAGCTGATGATGTTGGAACTGTAGTTGTCTCAGCGGTCGAGGTGGCGATTGTCGAGGTCTCAGCTGATGATGTTGGAACTGTAGTAGTCTCAGCGGTCGAGGTGGCGATTGTCGAGGTCTCAGCTGATGATGTTGGAACTGTAGTTGTCTCAGCGGTCGAGGTGGCGATTGTCGAGGTCTCAGCTGAAGATGTTGGAACTGTAGTAGTCTCAGCGGTCGAGGTGGCAATTGTCGAGGTCTCAGCTGAAGATGTCGGAACTGTACTAGTCTCAGCGGTCGAGGTGGCGATTGTCGAGGTCTCAGCTGAAGATGTTGGAACTATAGTAGTCTCAGCGGTCGAGGTGGCGATTGTCGAGGTCTCAGCTGAAGATGTTGGAACTGTACTAGTCTCAGCGGTCGAGGTGGCAATTGTCGAGGTCTCAGCTGAAGATGTCGGAACTGTACTAGTCTCAGCGGTCGAGGTGGCGATTGTCGAGGTCTCAGCTGATGATGTTGGAACTGTAGTAGTCTCAGCGGTCGAGGTGGCGATTGTCGAGGTCTCAGCTGATGATGTTGGAACTGTAGTAGTCTCAGCGGTCGAGGTGGCGATTGTCGAGGTCTCAGCTGATGATGTTGGAACTGTAGTTGTCTCAGCGGTCGAGGTGGCGATTGTCGAGGTCTCAGCTGAAGATGTTGGAACTGTAGTAGTCTCAGCGGTCGAAGTGGCAATTGTCGAGGTCTCAGCTGAAGATGTTGGAACTATAGTAGTCTCAGCGGTCGAGGTGGCGATTGTCGAGGTCTCAGCTGAAGATGTCGGGACTGTAGTAGTCTCAGCGGTCGAGGTGGCGATTGTCGAGGTCTCAGCTGAAGATGTTGGAACTGTACTAGTCTCAGCGGTCGAGGTGGCAATTGTCGAGGTCTCAGCTGAAGATGTCGGAACTGTACTAGTCTCAGCGGTCGAGGTGGCGATTGTCGAGGTCTCAGCTGAAGATGTCGGGACTGTAGTAGTCTCAGCGGTCGAGGTGGCGATTGTCGAGGTCTCAGCTGAAGATGTCGGGACTGTAGTAGTCTCAGCGGTCGAGGTGGCGATTGTCGAGGTCTCAGCTGAAGATGTTGGAACTGTACTAGTCTCAGCGGTCGAGGTGGCAATTGTCGAGGTCTCAGCTG